CAGAAAGGAAATGTCAATAGACAGTTGCAATGATATTTTTAAGAACCTAGCAGCAAGAGGAGATCATTCAGGTCCTGATGAGTTCCAGCAGGAAGTTACACTTGGACCTTTTGAGGACAGCAGAAAAAGCAGCTTAAAAAACCACTTGGTTGCACTCTGCAGCATTAATTTCTGTCATTGCTCCAGCAGATCAGACATGGTCAAAGCTACACACCCCAGCATGTGTTCAACACTGGGAGGTGGTCTGAAGCTGATTCTCCAGACCACCAGGCTTTGGTTTAACTGAGCTGAAACTTCAATTCCACATTTGTAGGAGCAGAATCTGTAACAGCATCTAAAGAAAAATTTAAATGGGTCCTGGATCAAATTAAAGGTAGTGTTTTTATCAGCATGCAATAACTTATATTTGGAAACTTTTGCCCTCCAGACAGATATGTCCAGCTACATCACTGCTATAGATTAGAAGGAATCCTTGAAGGAACATACTCCTCTTAGCAGAACATTGGAATTTTCAGCTATGTTAGTATAAACTCAGCTTCAGACAGGGTATAAATCTGATCATTACATTTAATCCGACCCTAGCATTAAATATGAATCATGACTAATGGGTGTATCTCAAGATAAGGGCCTGTGCATTCCCTACACAGAAATTTCTGACTGTGATCATTATCACAAGCAATAAACACCAGCTTATAAATACCTCAGCTGCAGAGCAGAGCTGCATGGCTGAAGCCTTGTGCAGCTGCTTTTGAGTCAAGCAGGGACTCTCCCTGCAGCTCCACATCCCACTTTCCTCTCCTGCTGCCTCCCTTTTGGCCTCCCCTGACCATGCTCTGTTCTGCTCTGCTCTGTGTGGGCTCTGCTGTGCTCCACAGGTACCCCCGAGAGCTTTGAAGGAAACTCTGAGCTAGAATAAGGTGCCAGGAATATTTTGTTGCTTTGGAAATATTTTTGTTTCCCTTGCTACCTGTCTTAAAGAGTTGACACTGTCTGAGTTCTTCAACGCATTTGCTGCCTGAGCCCATTCCCAGAACTCAGATGCTGTAGGTTGGACTAAAAGCTGGGATAAGTTGATTGATTTTTTATCCCTCCTCCTGTTACAAACACTAACTTGGTTATTACTGCCAGGAGGACACCTGAGATTCTTTGGACTGTGATGAGAATTCCCTCTTTATTGGCATTTTTAATAAGAGATATGACTTTTTAGAGAAGGTGCTTTCCAAGGCTGGGGCGGGGGGGGGAAAAAGAATTATAAGTAAGGTCTCTGAAAGTTGGAACTACATTTAAGGAACCTGACAGACCTTTCATGTTCCTCAGCTAGGGTGGCATAAGCTTATTACAGGGTATGTTTCACTCCTAATTTGCAGGAAGACAAAAGAACCTTTAATTCCTGGTTTTTGCATTCAAGTAGAGGATATGAGCAGACTGACCAGAAAAGTTTCTTTCCCCTGTTCATGTACTCCACTGACATATGCAATAGGCAAAAAAAAAAAAAAAAAAAAAAAGAAGCTGGCTGTTAAAGAGGATTTATTGACTATTAATTATGAACAAGATGTGCATCAGAATTGAGAATCTAGCTCTTATTTTTACCACTTGGGATAGAAACATCATAGCTATCTGTTTCACTGTGTTCCTAGGTAATTAAGCAGTAGTGAAAATAGGTGCACACTATTAAAAATCTGCACTTTGTACATGAATCTGTGTACAGTGTACTGTCTGTACATATGTGCAGTATGTAGCCAAAATATACATAAAATGGACAATAGGACTTTCTATACTTTCTATAAAAAATACCAGGAGAGAAACATCTGTATACTTATGATCCCTGAGCTCAGATTAATCTCATTTTAATGCATACAAGTTCTGCTCTCATTTGCTGTTTAGTAATTTTTTCAGCTTCTGTCCTGGAGCACTGACTTTTCTAAATAAAAGCTTTCATTAACTCTCCTTTGGTCTCCAAGAAAGTTTTAATCCTTCATTCACACAAACAGCTACAAATAAGTGCACATTTCTATTTATCTCACTTGTTGGTGACATTTTTTATTCATTTTGGTCAGTGCATTTGCATCCTACCCTGAGTTGTCTCCTGTGCAGCTGGTTATTCTCCAGTTACTCCCTCAGACTCCTCACCATAACTGATCAAAGTCTGAGCTCAGTAAAACACACAAGCCCTCTTCCAAGCACACAGGTTTATTTGGTTTAAATTACAATTTAGATAGAATGACAATAAATGTTTGAGGTTTAATTTCTTGCCATATTTATACAAAATAAAAATGTTAAAACAATGCAGTTTGCTTTGTGTTGGTCAAAAATAAGACAGTAATAGGGGGAAAAAAGGGTTCTGAATCTGCACTTCTCGAGAAATTATATGTATGATTTGCTTGTTGATTAATGTTTCTGGTTTTTATAATTTTCAGCTAGAAGCTCTCAGGAGCAGGATCACTCTCAGTCTCTCATCCTCCTTCCTCTTGCTGACAATTGGCATCACAGTCCACAAAGCATCAGCAGTGTCAGTGCCTCAGCCATGTGACACGGGCGCTATCAGCCCATCTAGGAGTGATTTAGAAAAGAGGCAAACACAAGTTTCTGTGCTGAGGAAAGACAACTCTTTCAGTCTGACAAAAATAAAGCATTTCATCCAGCCACCCACAGAAGGAAGTGACTTCATGGAGCTGACCACTTAGCTGCTGCCCTGATAGATGTCAATCTATTTTGTTACTTTCCAGCAGGTTAGAAAAACATTTTTCTTTTTGGTTCACAGATACCTTGAAAGAATTAATACTCTGAGTTTAAGCTGTATTTTCCAAAAACCATTTCATATAAAGCTTTTGGCCCATTCAGTCTCTAGCTTCTAAGTACAGAGAGAGAGTGCTGCTCCCACTGGTAAAGTCACTGAGCAAACTCCAGCTGGAGACTGGAGTCCTTCTCTCATTCTTCTGCTGGACAAAGCATTCTGCAGTGTGTGTTCCCAGCCAGGTGGGGATGCTCCAAAGACAGGGCAGGTTTTGTGCTGTTTCTGAAGTTATACATTGCATATGGGAGATGCTTTATACACGATGAGAGTAAATCTGTTTTCAGTCCCTAGCTATGCTTCCCAGTGTGCTGTGGAGTGAAGCTGTTCCTGGCAGTGCTGATCTCAGCCATGTGTCAAAAATTTCCTTGATACTCACTGAGCTCCAGCTACCAAAACTCTATCCTCTGAACCATACAGGATGTGGCCTATGGCAGTATTTTTCATTCTTTGCCTTCTTTCCAGTAAGTAAATCTAACTTAACCTTCTAAATAGAGTTCCTGAATAATTTTATTTACAGAGTGAGCCCTAAAGAACATTCCCCAGACATGTCCTTTTTTTTCCTGAGTGAGTGCAGAGGTTCTGCTGACATTTGTTAGGTGTGGACATCTTTGCAGGGGACTATTCAAATTACCAGCAGATACTAAACACCACTGATAATTTCAAAGTTTAGTGGAACAGACAACACATTCACACCAGCAGTACCCCCCAGCAAAGGGAACCAAGAACAGTGAAACAGTTTAAAAATCTTTGCTGCTAATTCAGTCTAACAAATATAATTTGTGCAGTACATATCAACTGCAAAGTGACCTAGCTAATGAATCCTTAAATTTCACTCTGGCAGCAATTCAGAGAGCTGGAGCTCCCTAAAAGTGAGGTGATTAGAGCTATCTTCTCTATTTTTAATGAGACATATACTAACACTGTGAGCTTACTGCAGAATCAGCATCCTGGGAATCATGTGCAGGCCATGTGCTTTCTGCTAAATGGAAGGGGAAACACGGAGCAAATCTATATTGTTGGAATTGCTTGTTGGGGGTTTCACAGTGGTGTCTTGGACAGGGGAACTGCAGAGAATTCAGCAAGAATCAGAAGTTTTTTGGTCTGTGTGTCAGTTCACCTGAGTTACACACTGGGGCTACACAATACAGAGCAGGTTAATTAGAAATCAGGCATCCCCTGGAGCAGGCTCTGCCCAGCTCCTTGGCTCTGAGTGGCTCCTGAACAACAACCACACCAAACTGGGATTGATACCCCACTGAATGAACAATCCACCAAAATGAGACATGGCCCTTGCAGTGTTTAGCATCTACAGTTTTAAATTGTGGTATTTATTTTGTTTATATCTTTCAGTCCACACCTTTCCTTCTCTCTTTCAGGATGACTTGGTAAAGATTCCTCTGCATAATAATCTGCTTTCAGATTTTGCTCCCAACATTCTTCAGTTTAGTATCTATTTGATGCTTTGTCACAAGTTAGTCAGAGAGGAAAGAAGTCCCAGTGTTTGAATCATTTTACCTGGAGTTTCAAAAGTAATAACCAAAAAGAGATGACAAACATGATGTGCATTTACAATAGGGGGAAAAGTTCCATTCTCTACAGTGTCATCAATTCCCATCTTGCTAGTATGTACAATTTTCTAGTGAAAGGTTTTGAAAACACAAAGGACTCCCTCATCTGGCATCAATGCCCAGAGCAGCAAGTTCATAGACCTAACTGGCTTCTCAGGCCACTAAATTCCTGAATTATCAATTGGAAATATTAAAAGAGCTAATTATATGATTTAATTAAATAATTTTAAACAATTTGATTCTAAAAGAAATAAATTCGGAGTAAATTATAGGTTAACATGGAATCTGCTTGTGATTTGAAGCTTTATGTGGAATCTGACCACAATTTATAGCTTGGATTATTTCCTGCCATTGGATTTGGCAGGGGCTGTACTTGGCTAATAGCTTATTAAACTATTTAGATCTTAAATGAATCATCAACTTCCTGTAACACCAGCGAGTTTTGTACATGTAGCAATAAAGCCACGCTTTTAAGAGCTCTGCTGTGTGCTGACCTGCATCTCCCTCATGGCTTTGGAAACATCTGTGATCTCGGGAAGCACAACCTGTAAATACCACTGCTGTGAAACAACTGATCTGCTGGGTCCTGCATCAGCAATTTAAGAGCTCTTTAGTCACGGTGTAAAGGTGGAGTAATCAGACAAACGAGGCTGAAGTTAAATCCCAGGAGAGCTTCCTTTCCAGAAGACCCTGAGGAAAGGTTGGACATTTATTAGCAGACACGGCTGGAAAAGAGACGGGGTGGGGGAGTCTCAGTAGCTGCAGCAGGCAGCCCGTGTGCCCACGAGGTTGTGCAAGGTTGTCCGGGGGTTCAGCGCTCTCCGTGTTCCCCCTGGAGAGCTCTCCCTGTAACACTCTGTGCCGCCCGGGCACTTGGCACGCTCGGGCATCTCCTGCTGCCAGAAGGTCGCGGAGGAAAAGGTGCTTCGAGGTCACGTTAGCGTGAAGGCCACGGAATCTGCGAACACTGGGACGTGCCCCTCTGGCTTTAATGCGGGATTTCAAGCGTTCTTACTGACAGGAACGGACGTGAGGAAAATTCCGGGGCTGATAGAGGAATTTTCCTTCTTCCCGGCAAATAGGCTTTCTTTTCGAAAGAGAGGAACAAACTCAATAAGGTTCCCCTTTTCCTGGAAGCTCGGCACTGTTCCAGCGCCAGAGGCTCCTGGGGCTCCCGCCTCCCGCTCCCTGAGGGGAGATCCCGCTCCCCTCGCCGATGTAAAGCCATTGCCGAGGGAAAAGGGCTCGCACACGTGCTTTATCCCGCTGCCCTGTGGCACGATCGGCGCCGCAGTGTGTCCAGAGAAGGGAAACGAAGCTGGGGAAGGGTCAGGAGCGCATCTCCTGTGGGGAGCGGCTGAGGGAGCTGGGAGCCTGGAGAAAAGGAGGCTCAGGCGGGACCTACGGCTCTGCAATTCCCGGAAAGGAGGGTGTAGCCGGAGAGGATAGGGTTCTTCCAGGCAACCCGCGACGGGACAAGAGAACACAGCCTACAGAACTTCTCCGCGTGTGCCAGGGGAGGTTCAGGTTGGACATCAGGAGGAATTTCTTCACAGAAGAGGTGATTAGACATTGGAATGACCGCCCACGGACGTGGTGGAGTCACCGTCCCTGCAGGTGTTCAAGGAACCACTGGACGTGGCACTCAGTGCCATGGTCTAGTTGACACGGCGGTGTTCGGTCATAGGTCGGACTCGATGACCTCAGAGGCCTTCCCCAAACCTAACTGATCGTGGCATTTATGTGATTTATGTGATTTATGTGATTTCTCCGCAGCCAGGGCCGAGGAGCCGGGCTGGGACACCGCCGCCCCGCGCCGTATTTACCAGTAGTGAGCGCACTCCCGTTACCGTATATACCCGCACGGGTACGCCCAAAGCCGGCGTTACCGTATTTACCGCCACTAACCCGCCACCGCGTTTCAAGGACGTGGAGCCCAACACGTGCTCCCGCACACCACAGCAAAGCCGTAATGCCCCGAGAAAAGCGCATGCGCCGTGCGGCGGCGGGGGCGGGAGCGCGGCCGCGACCCGGTGGGGTGAGGAGAGGAGGAGCGGCCGGTCCCGCCTCCTCCTTCTCCTCCTCCTGCCCGCGGTTGCCGGTGCTGCCGATCCCGCCTCCTGATCCCCGCGGCTCCCGGTGCCGCCGAGGCCTGCCCCGGCCCTGACTCGCCGGGCCCCGGGGCGCCGCAGAGCCATGGCGCAGCGAAAGGTGGCGGAGCGCGGGCCTTGCCAGGCGGCGGCGGAGAGCGCCAGGCACCAGCGGCAGCTTCTGGAAGGTGCCGGGGGCTCGGGGCGGCGGGAGCGGGGGTGACCTCGCCCTGGCATCGGACGGTGCCCGATGCGGGTGTCGGTGGCCGGGACGGTGCCCGGTGCGGCTGCCCGTGCCTCTCGGCGCCTCGGGCTCCGGCCCCGTCCCGCGCGGCCGGGCCGGGCCCCTCACGGTGCGTGTGGGGTGAGGCGGCTCCCGCCCCTCGGCGGCCGAAACGGGGCAGCGACCCCTTTCCCTTTTCCCTTTCCCCGTGAGGCAAGACGCGTGGTTCCACGTCTGTATGTCTGTGTGTGTCTGTCGGTGTTATTCCACTACTGGCACGCCTGAAGTAGAAAAAGTGGAAGCGGCAGAAAGCGCAGTGGGCTGAGTTTTCCTTTTTCCCCCCTATAAGTTGCCTATTTGTTTATTTATCTATAATTTATTTTGCTCCTTGGACGAGGTGGTGTCAGAGTAACCCCGGTTACGGGGCAGTGGAGCAGGTTGCCCGGAGCAGGTGTGGAGCCTCCCTCGGTGGCGGTACTCAGGAGCCGTGTGGATGCACTCCTGTTTCTGGGATGGCCCTGCCCGAGCTGGGACGTTGGACCCGTGACCACTGTGCTCCCTTCCAGCCTGGCAGCCCTGTGATTCCCTGGTTCTGATTGCTTTGGGGATGCTGCCTTTGGCCTCGGCTGACCCAGTGCACACCTGTGGGGTCGCGCTGACCTTAAACCTAAAAAACCCTTGCAGCCGATAAAATTGCCAGCTCGCCCAGCGGTTTCGTCATCCAGTCGCTGCATTTCACAACAGCGAGGTGTCAGCGTGACCCACTTGAGTGCTGTGTGTTGGCATTGTAGTTGTGCCAGCGGCATCTGCGAGGGAAAACACAGCCTCGGCTCTTTGTGTGTTCTCCAGGTGACCCTGGGTGTGAAGCTGGGTGAGCCTCCAAGTGCCTCAGGAGAGAGTGGTTTACTACATGCACACATACACTGCCCGCTGTGGATGCAGAGAGTGTGTGGTGTTCATTTCAGTTCTAAATTCTTTATGTGTGTAGTTACATTTGTGTTAATCGATGTATTGCATGAACGTGGTCATTTTGATAAAGGTCTAAAACACAGAAGTGGCCTACAGTGTCATTGTGTCACTTGCTGTACTTCCATTGCTTCCACTACACAAGGACTTAAAGGCTAATAAACACTTATGTATATATATACTTATGTAGGTATATCCACATGAGTGTAAAATATGTGTGATTCCCAAGACTAGCACTTTATGTCACAGGCATGTGTGTGTTTATGTAGGTTTCCTCCTAGTGAGTGTGTCTTAACTAACTGGCAGTATCTGGTAGTCTTTCATTAGAGGGGGAAAAAACCCCAAAAATCTATTAGTGAGCAGGTTTTTAAGTTACATTTTACATCCTGGAGATTTAACTTCAAGTTGACTCTCTAGTTAATTAGACTGGCAGAAGATTTCTGGCAAAAAAGAAAACTTATGTATGGCTTACGTTGTTCAACTCTGTTTTTTCTCTTTACAAATGTATTTATTAATTGAGGCCTAAGTTATTATGGATCCTAGAAGGTGACTTGTGTGGGATGTTTTCCAGCACAAAATCTTCAAAGTTGTTTGAAAGCTTCCAGGGAACGTGAGCAATGTGTGCTCTTGAAAGCATTGGTTGGAAGATGTCCACAGAGAGTTTACTTTAATATTCCTTTAAAGAATAAGTTTGAAATTTGTTGTAAGTCATGAGGGATTGTTTTTTCTTGATTTGTTTTGCCAGTGCTGGGTTTTTTCTAACTTTGTTTCATGTTTAATTTCAGGGAAAGCTCTTGCAGAAGGTGGATCAGCTCGGACGTCACTTCTTATTTTAGTGTCCATCTTCTTATCAGCTGCTTTCCTTATGTTCCTGGTATATAAAAATTTCCCACAACTTAGTGAGTAAGTATGTTATGAAAGTTTAATTTATCAGTTTATTTGCTTTTCAATATCAGACTGTAGAGGAGCCTGCATGGGGATATGACATAAACTCGGAGAATTGTTCTTGATTTGAGGTTTCTATGGCACAGTGCAGAGCCATCATCAGTGGTAGCTGACTCTGTTCTTAGCCACCTTCAGCTGAGAGCCAGAGTGTGTTTGGTTCAGGCTGAGCTCACTTGAAACTTCCTTGTGCCTTGGTGAAACTGGAAGCTGTCACCAAAAGGGGAAATCCTTCCTTCCTAGCTAAACTTAGCCTTCTCTTTTTCTCCTTCTTGTTGCACCCAGTACTTGTGTTGGGATGGCAGGCAGGCTGACAGGTGGGAGCCTGCTTGTCTGACAGCTTTCTTTTTCATCACTACTTTTAGTAGTTCAATTTCTGTCTGATTAACTTGCTCAACAAGGTCAGTCTGCAATGGCCCATCCCTAAACCTGATACAGAGGGAGCAAAGACACTCAAGTGTGCTGCACCAGATTAAGGTGTGCCATGAGATTTTGCCCTTAGAACTTTGTTTGTTTGTGAGGTGAAGTTCTGCCACTCCTGCTGCACTTCAGCTGTTCTGACCCCAGCACTGAGGCAGCTGCAGTTGGTTTTGGCTGAACCGTTGGCTGCTTTCACTTGCCAAGGTTTGGTTTGCGCAATTTTTTCTTTTCCATCAGTACTTGGTAAGAAAAAAAACCTAGAAAAGAAGCACATCATTGTACTGAATAAAAAAACCAGCTTGAAAATATCTAAAATTGGGGATTTTCTAATATAAACCACACTGTCAATATTAGGTGTTCATCTGAGTATATTATTACAATAATACTCATGGTTTGTTTGCTGAAGCTGTAATTTAGTGTTGTAGTGTATCTAATTATCTCTGTATTCAGTAAGTAATTGTACTACACTGTTTGATTATATTTCCATCATTCCTGCTTTTTTTTTTTTTCCTCTTCAGAGAAGAAAGAGAATGTATAAAGGTTCCTAGAGACATGGACGATGCAAAGGCCTTGGGAAAAGTCTTGTCCAAATACAAGGACACATTTTACGTTCAAGTGTTAGTGGCTTATTTTGCCACATACGTTTTGTATCCTTTTTCTGATGTAAAGGGCAGTTTTGATGTAGTCATGCTTCTCTGAAAATGAAAAATACAATTTGATAATTTCTTGGTCGTGGGTGAAGTTTAACATACCTAGGTGTGTCTACAAAGAGACAAAAATGTTTTAAATTTTTGGAAATTTAAATGCATTTCTCTGTGTATTTGGCTTGGTCTTACTTCAGTGTGAAGATAACTTCTAAAATAAAGTGATTTTTGAGGTAGAAATTACTGTTTTTTTCTAAAAGAAAACTGAGACTACTGCTTTGCTCTTCTTTCAAAGAAGACATTCAAAGTTCCACATAAGGATAATTTATAGACTATTTAGCAATATTTCTGAAGGAAAGTATTTTGAGCCATCTTTCATCTCTGCACTGCCCAAATTCACAAAACCAAATCTGTTTTCTTTTAGAGAGATAAATTTCTGAAGTGCTTTCTGTCCAGGGAGACACAAAGGCTACCTATGTTCTATGTTGACTTCTTTTTCCTGAGTGCTGAATATATTAATTAATCATTAAGCACACTCTTAACTGCAACACTTCACTAAAGGTTAATAACTTTAAAGCTGTATAAGAGGTTTGTGTCACAGTTTTAATGCAGGAGGCTTTTGTAACTCAGGAGAGTCAGCACTGAACGTGCCATTAGTAATTATCCTTCAGCTCATTCTTCCCAAGTATTCCACAAAAAATAATTAATATTTCCCAAATTATAGATCTAGGAAGAAAATTAAAATGTTGGTTTACATATTAACAAGGAGTAGAATAAATTGGCTCTTTATTGAGCTGCTCTAGCAGTTGTAGATGTGATGACTTTACTGTCTCAGCAGCAGGCTGTGGTCAGTTTCCAGGCATGGAACCTTGACATGGCTTAGCAAAAGCTGTCCTGGTTGTAATGGACTCAGGAAAATTATTGGGCTTTTTAATATTTCATTCAGTTCAACTTGAGTACAATAGTGTACTGGGTTTTTTTTGCTTTATAACTTTTCTATCCAAAGTGGGCAATGCATCATAGTCTCAAGTATGCCTAGCAAGCCTTAGGTCCAACAACCTGCTTGCTTATGCTGCAGAAACCTAATTTTTGCCTTTTAAAATTTTTTAGACTGAAATTAGTGATCAGCTATTGTAGTTAGTGATCACACCAAGCCTGTTTGTAAGGAAGTAATAGCTGCCTTCATGCATTTCAGCCTTCCATGAAACTTGTGCTTATTGGCTTGGACAGGCCCGTGAACTTTGCAGAGAATGTCTGAAACTGCACATCTCTAGTCAGCAGGGTAAAATCAGAAGTGTGTGTTTCCTGGAAGTCACAATGGATCCTCTGTGGCAGTTGTAGCACAGATAAAGACAAAAATGTACTCAGCTTTTATTACTTTGTGGCTTATTCTTTGTACGTGTGGTGAAAGATCTACATCTTGTTGCTCTGTGCTTGAGCTTCTTGTGCTACTCCACAAAAGGTTTTTTTTGAAGTAAGGATCTTGAAAGGCCTTGCCTATTTATGCTTTTTCTAATGGTAAAATGTATCCTGACCTTCCATAAGAAGTATGTAGCTTTTTAGAAACGTGTTTTTCCTTAACTAAGATGCATCCAGCTTGCAAACATTTGCTATTCCTGGGTCTATATTCCTCAGTATCCTGTCAGGGTTTCTTTATCCCTTTCCACTGGCCTTATTTCTTGTTTGTTTGGTAAGTATGGAAAGTAGCTTGTGAGGGCATATATTTCTATCCATTTGGAATACAGCCACACATCTGAGCAGCTTCCTGTTGGAAATGATCAGTCTGAAACTGGCATACACTTCAGTTTCTGATGAACTATTGAGTTCTTACTCAGCTCTGCTGCAGGGATGGCATTACCCACAAAATTCACTGTAGCACTGGGTGGTGATCCAAAACACTGAGCTGTTTCTCCAGGTTTTCTTAATAATGAAGACATTTGATGTGAATCAGCCAGAGTTTCCCATACTCTAAATTTGTTTAGCATCTGCCAGAACCCAGTTGTGATTTCACTACACAATTACTCTGGTTTTATTATCACACTGCAAGATACATCTGTTTTTAAACTGGCTTAAATATGCAAGAAGTTTAGTTTAAGGTTTGAAATGTATGTTATCAACAAGCTCTAAAATATGAAATGGGCAAAGGTTGCAGTGATAATGAGCCTTAGTATTGAGAAGGTAGGGAGGACCTATTCAGTTTTTATTTTGGATTTCTTTAATGGCACTGTGCCTCTTATTTGCAAAGCTTTCACAGTTCAAATTCTTAAAACTGCAGAAGCACTCAATATTAACTGATAAATAATCAATGTTGTCTGCTTTGAGTGTTGAGATTGATCGAAATGCCTTGGAAATAAACTGTCTTGGGTCAACAACATTCTTAGGGAGTGTGTCCATACTGCTGGGGGCTCCCTAATGGAGGCTCCATGGAAACCTGCTCTAGCCAGGCAGTGTACTTGATACAGACACAAGGCTGACATTGAGTAGAGTTTCTGCTAATTTGTTGTCTGGTTTTGTGGTTTTTTTCAGTGCTCAGGACTTGGAGCTTCATTCTGCTACATGCTGTCCTACCTAGTGGGACGTCCCGTTGTGTACAGATATTTAACAGAGAAAGCAGTAAAATGGTCAGAACAGGTAAGGTTTGTGGAGATGCTGGAACTTACTGTACAAAATGTGTCATGGAATAGTGTGGAAAACTGGGAGGTCTTGTGCTCATGTATCCAGTTACACAGAAGGGATTCTGGAAGCATTCCTGATTTTATGGTATTTCCCATGAGAAAGGTGTTCTTACCTAGGAAGTGTTTGCAACTGATCACCCCCCTGGTTTGTTTTGTGTCAGTAGGAAACCTCTCCAGTTTCAGGTAATTTCAAGTAATTGCTCTCTAACATTAGCAGTAATGAAAGCTGGGTTTGTATTTTTGTGTTGGAGGAACTGTCCTGTATGTCTGATTGAAAAACCTTAATTTGAACATGTTCTTGTAGTTGGAGCATTTAGAAACATTTTCTTAGAGTACCTGGTAACATTAGTTTCAGCAAGTCTTGATTGTGAGATGAACCTAAAGGTTCTGCAGTACAGAAATACAGTGTGAGTTGTGCTGGACCTTATGTGTCTTTAATTGATACTCTGAAACATTCAAACAAATTTTTATTTTTTTTTTCAAGTATGAAGCACATGTACTCTGGTATGTGTCTTTAATTGATACTCTGAAACATTCAAACAAATTTTTTTTTTTTTTCAAGTATGAAGCACAGGTACTCTGTTCAAGATTTTTTTGAATCATAAAAATGCTGTAAACTTGTTCCTCATTAAATAAGATATGGAGCTGTGTCTGGCACAATTGACCTTGTTAGGTTTTATAGGACCATTTTGACTCTTGACCCAAGTAAATCTTAATATTGCAGTGTAATCTTGAGGCTATTCTGAGTAGCAAATGGTTACTATTGCCATTAGTAGAACTGAATATGTGATTTAAAATTGCATGTGCAGCTCCTAGCTCACTGTTTCCAGGTTATTTGGGCTGTATCATGCTTATCATGCCTGCATATTGAGGTTAAGGCATTTTACATGCAGTGTTAATCCATATTTAAATATTGTCCTTTGTTAAGGTTTAAAAAACCCACAGTGCTCCTGATTTTAATGTTACAGTAAAATCTAAATTTGTCTGAAGCTGAAAAACAAGGTTGTGACTGGGGTGAGCTGCCATGTGAAATTTCAGGTGGAATTACAATCAGACCAGGTTTGTTTTCAGCTGTATGAGGCTTAAGCTTAGTGCAGGTCTGCCAGGATAGGCCAGAATTGTGGATGCTCAGCTATCCTTGCAGCTTGGCTCGAGTTGCCCTTGCTGTCTGAAAGGGCTGATGTGCAGGGACAGGCTGGAAGGAGAAGGGGCTTTGTTGTAGCATTGGTGGAAGGAGCTGGGCTAGACCTGAGAACATAATAAAGGCTGTAAATGAAGTTGGAGCTGCTGTTGCTCCTGGGAAATGTTCATGCTGGGCACTGTAACCTCTGGGGACACAGGCTTTGGAGCTGTGCTGGGAGCAGCAGCCACCTCGTGAAGTTCAGAGCAGTGATCTGGCTGAGTTTCCAGGTGAGCAATGCAGCTGTGTTTCAAGCTTGATCACAAGTTAGCACAGAATGGTTTGGGGAACAAACTTCATTTCTAGTTCCTGGAAAAGCTTTAGGAATGGGATGCCAGGCTGGCTGTGGTGGCTGGGCTGTGGCTGTTCTGCCTGTGACTCCTTTGCTGCTTGAGCTGGCTGAGTCAGTCAGACACATCACTGCTCTGCCACACGCAGCTGTTTCCAGGCTGATCTCAGTGTACTGGACAGGTGACTCACTAGACACTCTTTCCCACATCACACATTTTAAACCGATTTTTATGCTTGCAACGTGTAAATGTCTACAAAACATAGGGGAAAAAAAACTCTTGAAACCTCTATGGTTGTCTGTTTTGAAGGCAGGGTTTTTTTAACCAAAGTTTTGTTTGTTTGGTTTTGTTTTGGCAGGTTGAACGACACAGAGAACATCTCATTAACTACATAATATTTTTGAGAATAACACCTTTCCTCCCCAACTGGTTTATCAATATCACATCTCCTGTAATCAACGTGCCATTGAAAGTGTTTTTCATTGGCACTTTCCTAGGTAAGAATTGTGGCTGGTGAGCCACAGTTTGGAGTGGCCAGAAGAAGAGGTACACACTATAGCTTTTTTAATTGGCTTTTTTTTTTTTTTTTTGCACATACTTTTTAATCTGATTAGGAAACAATCTGGTATTTTTCCTTTATGAACCTTATTAAAAAGTTCATTATTTTTCCTTTATGAAAAGTCAGCTTGTAAAGAGATAACTTGAAATCTGAAGAGTCTAAAGAGCAGAGATTATTTGCTTAATTTCCTGTATATGAGTTTGTATTAAAAATATTAAGAATGGCTTAAGACTAGTTTTTTGGATAAAGGTTTTTTATCTTTAAATTCTGTATTTACTGCACTCTCTAAAAAAATACAAGACAACAAAATCTCAACCTTCTGGTATTAAAATTTGCATGACTGATTTTTAAGGCTTTTTACCCTAACAAGGTGTTTTTTCATCCTTTCCTTGCTCCAGGTGTAGCACCACCATCTTTTGTAGCCATTAAGGCAGGAACAACGCTGTACCAGCTTACAACGGCAGGGGAAGCTGTTTCCTGGAACTCTGTTTTTGTCCTCATGATTCTAGCCATCCTCTCCATCCTACCAGCTCTCTTCCAGAAGAAGCTGAAAAAGAAGTTTGAGTAAGGATCAAACTGGACCAGAATTTCCCATACTTCATCTCAGGATCAGCACTTCTGATATTTGTATATTTGCTTTTCTATTGGATCTTAAGCAATTATAGGGGAGGCTTGTGATTGGTAAGAATGTCTTTAAATGAACACGTGGCCTTAAACTGAAGGCAATGTGTTCAGAAGTGTACTGCATATAGTTTTGTAACCAAACATCAGTGTTTTACTTTGGGATGGTGTGTGTGGCCCTCAGGACGAGGGAGGTGAGAACACAGATGTAACATTTTGCTCTAGTTACATGCAGAGCAAAAATTGTGATGTAGACATAAACTACAGGTGATGCTCTCCAACACTTGCAGGAACAATTCAGTCCAACTTTGTAACATTCTCTGTAGGCTTGCATGTGATCTGGCCTGAGAGCATTTCTCACTAACAATATTTCCCTTCTTTTTTGCCTTGGGGAGTTTCAAAATAATGTAACGGTGCTCACTGAGAAACAAGGGTTCTTTGCAGTACTTTAACTACAATGTTATTCTCATCCTGGTTGTTTACTTCTATTTATTAGTGCTGTATGGAATTAAATACTTGAACCTACATCTGCTTTACTTACTGGATTAACAAAGGCAAAGTGTCACTTCATTCCCTCTTGGTCCCTGCAAAGTTTTATTCTGGGAGCAGACACAGGAAGGGAGGGAGCAGCTTAGAATTCTTATCTTGGCTAGCTGATGATATTTAAGTTGTGATTTTCATTTTTTAATGTTGATTATTTTGCCAATATTTCACTTGCATAGATTTATCTTGCCAACTTAAGAAAGTGATGGTATGATTATATAAAATTTGCAGTTTTCAAGAGATTTAAAAACGCTTAAGCAGTGTAATATTACCATTTCTCAAGCAATAGGTAAAGAGCATAAAATTTCTCATCGCAGCTTGATTAGCTGAAAGAAAAGTCAGGTACACAAATGGTGCAGTTCCTATCCAAGAGCCGATCCCAGTAACGTTCAGAGCAGCGTGGAACAGCAGGCTCTCGGTCGCTGTGTGTAAACGGGGGCTCCGTTGTCTGCCCGGGCCAGCCGGGACTCGCCTCCGGTAGCAGCCTGTGCGTTCTCTCGGCGCCTCCCCCGTGCTTCCCGCCCTGCGTGCTGCTTGTGTTGTCAGTGGAACCCCGGCAAACGAGGCCCCGGGCACCGAGGGGCACGCGGGTGTTTTATCTGACTGGAAGCAGTGCCGCTCACGTGGTTTGCCGATGGCCCTGCAGCGTCTTGCTGGAAAGGGGCTCAACGCATCAGCATGTGCTCCAGTTGCAGGGTTTGTTTGTCTGTGTCCTCTGTTAACTCGTGATCATATCACAGATCTTCAAGATGTAAGAGAACAGTTCATGAATGTGATAATGTAAAAGGTACTGACTGGTACCTTTAAAGGGTTTATTCATTTTTGTAACATAATGTTAATCGACTGCTTCGTTTCATCACAGTATTACTTGTAAATATTAAGTAAATGTTATTGGTACACCATTTGTCTTTTATTTAAATCCAGGCTGCACAGTAAATGCTATTTTTTACATAAGTATATAAAGGAATTTATATCAGTTCTGTTTGCAAGTTTATTGTAAGATCATTCAGCTCCAGAAATTCTTTTGTTATTTAGAATTTACTCTAAAAGTGTACTTTGGCATTTAAAACTGAACAATGATTACTTTTATTGCTGCCATTCTAATCTCCAGAGCTGCTCTACCCAGGGTGTTTATTCCACAGTAAACCTGCTTACTTTTATTGCTGCCATTCTAATCTCCAGAGCTCCCTCTACCCAGGGTGTTTATTCCATAGTAAACCTGGATGTGAATTGAGCCATGTGAGCAATGTCCCCCAGACTACTGAGTGTGAGCTGCTGTGGATTTACAGCCTGCTTTTCTGCAGAGTTAACTTCTCATGCAGATGAACTCTCAGAATAAATTACCTACCACTTATTTTACAGTGGCTTTTCTCAAAATCTGTCTCAATTCCTGGTCAGTTACAGAAGCTGCTGTAACATCCCTCCCATGCCAATGTTTTGGTGGGACCTTGTTGCTAAAGAAGGAGCTGAACTCTTTCAATCTAATGTGACTCTTGCTGTCGCTTGACATTTTCACTGGCTCTGTTTCACTGTGGAGATGGGATCAGGCTTTGTTGCTGAAGACCTGTTGTGTTTCAGCCACAAGACTGGCCTCTCATCACAATAACTAAAAGCCTTAAGACCTTAAAAAGGTTCAAAATAGGGTTCTTTACTTTTTCAAAACCTTAGGATTTTTAAGCCCATCCCTTCTGTGTTTATCTTCAGCTGCCAGCAGTCTGAGGTGCTTCCCTATCCCATGAGGACTTCTGAGGCTTGTGCAGAGTAAGGCAGGCCTTGTGGAAAGCAAAAAAGCACTGTGCTGTGGGGTACTGTACTAGCCTACTCTTTCCTTTAGGGAATCCAGCAAGTGATCCAAGAGATAGCCATAACATTTTGACAGAAGAACAGTGGCTACCATGAAACAAACCAGGACATCAGAAAGATGTAGCTTTGTTTTTTAATTGCAAGGGATTTTTGAGCTGTTGGGTGACCTGTTTATCTTTTGGAAGTTTTTTTGTGATACCTGCATGACATCATTACTAAGTGTCTCTTGCCATTTGATAATAAAGCTGTTATATAAAATCTGAAATGCTGTATTTTTTGAGTATAATGAAGCATTCTGAACTTCCCACTAGGCTGAGTTTTTTATTAATCTGTTTAAAAGGGCTGAGTTCTTAAATGGTATTTTTAATGATTGATTAAAAATTAAACTGAGCTGATGACATCTGTAGATGAGAATAATTCTGTTTCTACCTTTATTTCAAAATAAGTAGGTAAATTTGACTTCCTTTTATTTCTTAAAATAATTTCTCACATACAGCAGTAATTTTGAAAAGTTTTTCTGGTTTGCACTGGAAGGCAAGTGTGTCTAACTTCTGTCTGTTCAAACACATGTATTTGTACAAAGTGCCTTTTTTTTCTTTAATCCCTTGTGGAAAACCCCTGTGCCAAAGTTATTGCAGCTTCATTCACCTTCCCTTAATATTCTGTCAAGGCCAGTTTATGGTTTTTCTTCTTTGTATAGAAAACTTGCTCAAAGAGTAAGACAGAAGAGGTAAAAGTCAAAAATAAGAAGCTTTTGTTAGTGAATGATGCTGTTATGCAGAGTCAAAACATGCCTTTTGTTTTTAGGCAGCTGAAGGTTTTTGTGTGTTTCTGAGAATTATTGTCATGTGTAGTTTCCTTATGTCATAGTGTAGAGTTTGGGAACCCTATGGTTTAGTTATGGCAGTGCTGAGAGGGAAATGTAAAAGGGTTTGGACAGGAAAGCAGGATCCAGAGCCACTTTTTCAAATTTCCATCAAAGAAGTAAATACTCTGACTATTTTTATGACCAATTGATGTCATGCAATGGCAGACATTTATAACTCTCAGCTGTGGCTTCATAGCTCCAGGTCACCCAAAGTGAGAAAAGTTACAGCCTTTTTAGTACTGGCAATTAATATAAATAATAGCATAATACATTTACTAACATACCATAACTCCCAGTTCTTAAAAATGCTCCACCTCGTGTGAGAATTCCCATTTCCTTGTTTTATGGTACACAAGGAAGAACGTGGGTCTGGGTTACGAGAGCTCAGTTGGTGACTGGTGTGTATGTGAGAAGCTCATAAAAGCTCCTTTCTGTAGAAGGCCTTCCAAACACAGAACTGTGCTCCTGTGCAGCTGTGGGACTTCAGGGCTCTGGATATAGGATATAGGACCCCATAGCCTTTAGAGGTTCCTAGGCACTCAAGAGGGCTGGGAATGGAAATAGCTTTTAAAATTCTGCCTCAGAATTGACATCTAATGTTACACTCATAACTCCTGATTTTTCTTTTACAACCCAGCCCTGAGGGGTTGTATCTAAAACCTGGAATTTGCAGTGTTTACTGTACTTGGAAGAATTCCATGTCATGGAGAAGGATTCTGAGCAGATCACTAAATCATTCTATGTTTGACTCTTTGTTCTGTGTTAAACTGATTTCTCATGCCTGTGAGAAAGATAAACTGCCAGTCAATCCTGAACTTGTGCAGGATTTGCTTCTTCAGCTGGATCCCTCTAAGTCTATGGGCCTGATGGGATTCATCCAAGAGTACTCAGAGAGCTGGATGGTGTCATCACAAGACCTCTCAATGGTTTTGGAATCTTGGGAATCTGGAGACATTCCAGTCTACTGGAAGCTGGCAAATATTGTCCCAGTTTTCAAGAAGGGCAAGAAGGATGACCATGCAAAGTCCAGGCCTATCAGTCTCACTTCAATGCCCCATAAAATCATGGAGAGGATTGAGTAAAGCTTTTGATACCATCCCTCACAGTTTCCCTCTGGAGAAAATGCCCAGCACTGAGCTGGGCAAACACACCACGTGACAGGTGAGTGACTGGCCCGCGGGTCAGGCACAAAGGGTTTAGTCAATGGGGTGACATCGCCTGCAGGTCCTGTCACTGATGGGTTCTGCAGGGTTCCATGCTCAGCCCCATTCTCTTCCACACCTTCATTCTGCTCTTGAGCAGCTGTGGGACTTCACTGCTCCTACATTCTCTTCAACATCTTCATTAATGACTGGGATACAGGACTGGAAGGAATGCTAAGTAAGGACTGGAGGGAGCACTACGTAAGTCTGCTGACTGTACTACCTTGGGAGGAGCTCCAGACCCCCTCGAGGGCAGATGTCCTGCAGAGACCATGGCAAGGGCTGGGCAGTCACCAACCATAATAAAGACAAGTGCTGGATTCTGCCCCTCTGTATGGAGCAGCCCTGGATGTATGGACAGATTGGGAATGAGATGCTGGAGAGCAGCACCGTGGAACAGGAGCTGGGGCTTGTAGTTGTTGGTAAATTGAGTTTCAGCCCATAGTGTGGGCTCCTGGAGCTGGGGAGAAGAGGGACTGTCACCGTCATATTTTCTGGAAAAATCCCTTCACCAGGATTTCTCTCCTGGGAAGCTGAGAAGCTTCAGAGAAAAAGGAAAACAATATTATCTCATTTGCTTCTCCTGTGTTTTGCTGCTTTGGAATGTGGTTTGGACATTGTTTACCAACAGGTGGCTGTTTCATTGGTTTCATGTGAATTGTTTTGACTTATTGGCCAGTCAGGGCCAAGCTGTGTCGGACTCTGGAGAGAGTCACAAGTTTTTCTTTAGCATCTTTTAGCCTTCTGTCTGTTTCCTTTCTGTATTCTTTAGTATGGTTTAGTTTAGTATTCTTTAATATAATATAGATCATAAACTAATAAATTAGCCTTCTGAGAACATGGAGTCAGATTCATCATTCCTCACTCCGTCTGGGAACCCCGCAGATACAAGAAGGGACAGTGCTGCGTGGGAGTTTAGGAAATGTTCCACGCCCTGAAGTGCCAGCTGTGCTCTGAGCTGTGCCCTGCTGTGTGAGGATCTGTGTTTTAGGTGCTCCGCCGTGCAGGCTCTGTCCCACAGGTCTGTCATGCAGATGTCACACCCAATACACGGTCAATAAGCTGCAGCCAGATTCAAGTGTCTGCTTTTGCAGACTGGAGAGGATTGCTT